TGCAAGAATGGGGAATAAAGGGACTAGTTTCTTACCCTTGTTGACTTTCTTCAAAGATGAAGCTCCAGCAGCTTCTTTGAGCTCAAAACAGCTCAAGAACCTCAAGAACACCCTCTTAGAACCTCAGTAGCCAAGGAAAGGTGTAACACTATGTGTTTGTGTGCAATAGTAAGACACAAACACACTTAAACACACACAAAGGCTAAATGAGAGAGAGGTATAGAGATAGAATATATATCAAACCCTAAACCTAAAACCAGAGCTCTCACACCAATTTTCTCTCCAAAATTTCTAACCTAGAGCCAAGAGGGGAGGGCTCCTCTTATAGAGGAGCCAATCTTGTAAAGCTTACAAGGTAAGCTAACAAGGGGTCCATCCCTCCATACACGTGTATGGAGGGGAACAAAATGACATACAACTGTCTTAAAATATCTGCAAAAGCAGATGAACAGTAATCGACTGCTCAAAATTGCCATTTTGTAAAAAAGGAGTGCCGACCGGCAATATATATTGCCGATGGGAACAAAACGCCAGTCGGTGGCCTCTGGCCATGGCCGGTGATGTGTGGGGATGTCTCACAAGGCATTCCCTGCCCCTCCAAGGCAAAACACAAGTGTTTGGTGCAAAACCAGACACTAAACAGTTGAGTTCGGAGATCCTGAAGCAAGGCGCGTAGCCGAGACCTCCAGGAACTCCAAACAAACACAAACATGGATGATCACCGGGTGTTCAAACGGTGACGTCCAAGTCTTGAGGACGGTCAAAAATGGGGTGTCTACAGCTAGGAAGTGGGAGTATTGTTTGAATTGGTTCCACATTTTGAGGTTGTTCAACTTCAGTTGAAACTGAAGAAATCCTTATTAGAAGAGAAGGCAAAGTACCTGTCGCTGCAAAAGAAGAAATACAAAACAATGTTAAGTCCCAATATCAAGAATTGGAGAAAAGAAAGTAGAGACATGAAAGGAAATTACTAGTTTCAGAGGTGGTGGCAATGATGGGAGAACTACGAAGGGAATAATGCTCGACAGTGTGTTGCCTTCTCGCAGTTTCCCTTTGGATTGTATCAGTAGCAGCTGCCTCATCCCTTAATAGTTGTTGCTGTCGCCTTTTTTCAGCCCTCTAGAAAATAATTATTTCTTTAGAGCGTTCCTTCTCTACTGCTTTGACAACTGCCTCATGAGTAGGGTCTTCGATCAAGTCAGAAGGAGAGACGGTCATCTTCTTTCTCTTTTTTCTCTGCAGTGGTACTTCCTGCTCTTTCTCTACCTTTTCTCTTCAATATGAGGCTCAGACTCCTCAGGAGTGAGTATTAGTTTTCTTTTCTTTTTATGCTGGTGTTTGTCTTTGAGAATAGCCAGAGCTTCAGCTCTTTTGGGAGATTCTTCTTGTGGAGACCCTACACCAAGTAGTATGAATATGAAGAAAACAAACAGAAAATTTTGAAAGAAAGGAAACCTAAAAATGCATACCTTTTTCGAAGCAGCTCTAATAACTCTGGAATGAGGGAGTGAGACTGCAGGAATAGTCTTGGCAGTTGTAGAAAGAGAGGGGATGCTCCAAGCTTCTTTTGGTTTAACCTTAGAAGGCACACCTAGCCTTATTAATAAATCATGAGGATGTATTACTCGATGCACTTCCATATTGGCTATCCACCGATTTTGAAATCTTTTCAAAACTAAGCCAGAAGGGAGGAAGGAGACAAATTTAAACTCACTCAAATCTTTCAACAGTTTAAATATTGCCTCCTCTAGTTTAGATTTAGGTACTCTCAGATCTCTAGCTGTGAGATGGACATTCGAAAGACTGCAGAGTGGAATGGAAATTCCTTGGGTAAACCCAAATTGCCTGGCAAACTGGGAAGGGCAGTATACCTCAAATATGCACTTATAAGCTCGAGGGTTTAAAGTACCAACAAAAAGTTCCCTTGGCAACAAAATAAAAGCCCACATGTCTTTGTGCGATGGGATGGAACACTGTCTATCAGCCAAGAATGTCCTTAGCCAAATTGGTCCTTTGTTGTCATCGAAAGGGAAAAGAATGTGGCAGCTGGAGAAATAGGGAGCTGGTGGAAAAAAGTAAGATAGTAGGTGAAATAAGCGGGATAAAGGGCAATTCTAGCATACTTTTCTCCATGAGTGCTAGGGTCTTGAACTAACAATTTCAAGCACTTAGGATGTAAATCAGTAAAGTAAACAAAAAGCTAGAGTTGGAACACCCAGATGGGACCTCCTTGGTTGATATCAAGAGATTTCTCACAAAATTGGGAGCAGGCTCTATAAACATGGCCTAAAAGATAAGGGGCCAAGGCTATTCGCTTCTTCAAAACAAGGGCCTTTGCGAGTGGGGCAAATTCAGGCATGATTCGTTGAAATGATGTACAAAAGAGAAATTTACACAACCAATATAAAATAAAGGAGAAGAGTTCTCGATTACTCACAGGGCCCACCTTTTTATTTTCAGCCTTTACGAAGTCACTGAAGGAAGAATTCAAAGGTGGAAGAGAAAATTTAACTGAAAGGTCTAGATAGCTGGGTGTAAAGGGGGTACCGAGTGGTGAAAGCCCTAAGAGATGGCAGTTATCAAGAATAGTGGAAACCATCATACCACAACGAAACTGAAAAAAGTTAAACGCCATATTCCAGAAGCAAAGAGAGGCAGGAATCAAAAAAGGGTCTTCAGGAATGATAAACCTGGAAAGACGAAGGGCATCGAGAATGCAGAGCTTTGGTAGGTCCTATTCTCTTGCAAGCACAACCCTATCATACAACTCCTCATACTCTACCCTCAATGTTGGCCAGCAACGATGAGGTCAGTTCAATCTCCAATTTCCCCAGTCAAGCCCCCCTTCATAGAGAAAAAAGTGGTCCTCCAAACGAGGGTACAAAGTTGGAAGTTGGGCGGGAACCTCTCGAAAGATAGGACCTAGGACATATTCTTGTTTGTCGCTATGGCGAGGGACAAAGAGGCGTCCGTCTATGGCACTCGATCCATCAGCTTTAAATTTAGCAAGCTCTTCCTCAATACATCTTTTCAAAGCCATTGTTGGGCTTATACATTCGCCAGTTGGTACTTTCAAAGAAGAGAACTCCATTCGTAACAAGCAGCGAGGAAGAGAGGGTCAGTAGAGATGAAGGGTTTGTGTGTTAGGCAAACGAGTGAATTCAAAGCATGAAATAAAAAAGGTTTTTAAACCTTTGTGTCTAAAACTATACCCAATCGTGGAATTCATAAAGAAGTACTACATGTACGGATGCGAAAAGTTTCCTTCAATATTGATAGTTATGGAGGGAAACACATCTCAAATACTGATGTCAACTTCGAAATAAAATATTTGGCTTCGAAGCCAAATTTTGGCGTCAAAATCAGATAACAAACGGCTTCGAAGGCAGGAAGTCGACTTCGAAGCACATTCCATACCTAAGGATGCAAGAATATTCAAGTGTTTGTTTACTTCAGAAGGATTAAGGACCTGTTTTTAGGTTTGCTAGTGAGAGTAAAATCCTTCAAAACGAAATTTGAAATACCTTAAGGTTAGAAATTGTTTGTTCTAAGTTTCAAACCAATAGTTGGTTTGATAATATACAAAAGAAATCACTTTTTTAGAATAAAACAGTGCAGTCCTTAAAAGAAGTTTCCATATTTTGGAAAATGTAAACTGTTTGTCTAAAACAAAATTAGTTGTTTTGAAATTACTTGATTGTATTAACCACATGTTGGGGAATTGAATATAATCAAATCAAGTTTCGAAGGGCAAAGTTGTTTAATTCGAAGCTGATAGTTGAAGAATTATGTTAGGCCTAGGGTCGATTTGTGAGACGATGATTGTTTTCTTAAAAGGAAGACTTCACACTTTGGAAGGGTTTGAGCTGGGATGGAGTTAAAGCACATCAACCATACAGTTAAGTCTACAATTGGAGTGATAAATCAGAATCTGACAAATGAAATTCAGAAAGCCCAGTTTTATTGATAAGTGATGTTTACACTGAGATCCATTTGATTACATTTTCGATTTCGTAGTAATATGGAATGGACAAAGTTACAAGGTCATGGAATTTAGTCCAACAAAATTCAATAAATGAATACTCTTTGCGTACCCTATCCTCTATTTTGTCCATGTTTGGTTTATCAAGCCCTTAATTGAAAAGAGAGTTGTTGGACCTTCACTTTAAATTCTATCTGTTTTAGGGTTTTGTCTGTGGCATCCATCTCCTCTTCTTCATGCACTTCGTTCATTGCAGCATCCTCCCCACGCTCAGAATCCTGGCTCCAGAAGGCCTCATATTCATCAAGGAGGTTCTCTGCCTCATATTGAACCTGAATTCGAGCAGAGAAGGCTTTATCCATAACTCCACTGGTAATGGAAGCCTGGAAGTGCCAGTTGAGCAGGAGAGGAAGTTGGTCTAAAAAGGTATAAAACTCTATTTGGGCCACAGGGTTGAGAAGATGACTTCGAGACATAATGTCACAAGCCCATAGAAAGTTTTTGTGGGGAATGTCATCTCGAAGGACTTCAAAAGTTAAATGGGAGAAAACAGCAAGTAAAGTCTAAGCCCTAAACTGCTGATAAAGAGTTTGAGGCACTGGGGCCTGGTATGGGGTGAAGTATTGGCCCTCAGAGAGAGTGAGTCTCAATTCATCAATCCAATTTGGATTGGAAGGCAGAGGAGGAGCAGTCGGAGGTTCCTTGATCGAATCTAGGAATTCAGGTCTGGCCACACATTCTAGCCAATCGGAGGTATAAAGTTTTACTTTTTTGGCTAAAAGCGTAGGACTGATCCCTAAAGCTTCATCAGGACGTTGGACACTTCGAACCATCCGAGATGGCAAGGTAGAAGTATACCATGATGAAAACAGATTGTCTTCAAGACTGCGTATACGGTCAATAGGAACATATGGATATACTACGGAACTGTGTTTGGAATGAGGGATTTCAAAAAGGTCATCGAATTTTGGGAATCGGTGATGAATGCATTCCCTCGTCTGAGGTTGAGTAAGGGTAGGCCAAGTTCCCCAACCAAAGGTCGTAGAAGAAGAAAAAGCAGCAGCTTCATCCCATGCGGAAGGCTTTGTTGCAGAAGAAGAGCTTCCAATATCCATGATTGTAAATTTGTGTTCCAAAGAATCATAAGCAGTAGGTTCTTGGTTCGAAGGCCGATGATTTGCGAAAGCTTCCATAACTTGTATAAATAGAGGTGGATAAAGGTGGCTAATCAATGCATGAAGGTTCTTTCAAGGACGAACAGCATCATCAAATAACTCTTCGTATGCTTGATCAATGTAAGAGAAGATTGGCTTGGCCATAAAAGATATATCAGTCTTTTCGAATACTGAGATAGTGGGGATGTTCAAGGATTATAAGAGAATTTAATACAAATGTTTCATTGACTAATGACGGTTGCATTTCTAAAAAATGCAAAGCCTATGCACGTTTTAAGACGTGAGAAAAATACCTTGATCCACTAATATCACCAAGTATTGAGTATATTAGTGCGGGGGATAATGTTGGCTACATATTTTGTATAAGCCAATCACAGTTCGACACGTAGCAGGATGAGGGTAATACGGGAAGACAATTCAAATCTTCAATCATAATCACGCACGTGGTAGTTAGTATTGGTTATTGTGGATCTGCATAGCACTGGATCAGTAAAGATATGCAAAATGACGTAACTTCAACGATTACTCATATTTAAATTCAAAATCAGGAGGGAAGCCTAACTGCAGATATGGCATAGTGGAGCTAACTGTAAGGCAGCATGATCAGCGATCATAGAGGAATGATTCGACGGTTAGAAATGCATTTCGACGGTTGTCATTGAGAAGTATAAGTAGTAGAGAAGACCCCAGAAAGATCCCCTAGACTCAGATTCAAAAAACCAGTTTTATCTACTTTATTTTCTTTCCAGTTTTTACATTTCCTGTTCTTTACATTTCTGTACTTCAAATTCCTGCACTGCACTTCGTTCATAGGAGTAATTTCAAGTAATTTGTTGCTGTAAACCTCTATGAGGCTAATTTGGATCGTTGTAAGTCTTCCAATTTAGTTAATGAAATGTTACAATTGTCCTTCATTTAATCATTATTTGCTTAATTCTCCTAAACAAAGCCACTAATAAAAGTCCTCTTCATTGAGGCTGAAAGAACTAAAACACAATCGTCTGATAATTGGTTGGCAATTAATATTCTGTAAGGGCTGGTTGATCCTTGCTGGCATGCTCACAATTACAATAATAACCTTCGAAAGCCAAAAAGCCAACAAATATATTTGAAATGGTCAGTTTCGATTTAATTCGATGCATAAGATGCTTAAACCGATACTGAACCAAAAATCGAAAAAAAAAATCAAATTAAAAAATCACACACACCAATTCTTATTAAAAAAAACAAACCGATTCAATCTGCTTAGTCAATTTTTTCTTCTTTTTTTTTTCTTATATCTCTACTCATAAGTACAAACGTTTTACCAATTAGCCCCTAAAAAAATCAAAGGGGGATTTACTTGTAGATCTTAATAGGTGAACTTATTGTCCAATAAGTCCTATAATAATTAATGACGTTTTTCGTCAAACACTTCTAAAAAACGTCAATAATTGTTAATTTTTAGCGACATATTGAAAATTATCACAAAAAATGTTACTAATTAAAAGTTTTAGTGAAAGTTTAAAAAAATCGTCACAAAAAAAATCACTAATTTTCAACTTTCAGTAACAGTTTGAAAATTTTGTTACAGAAAAATATTATTAATTGTATATTTTAGTAACAATTGATAAAAATCGTGACAAAAAAAATAATAATTAATTGTCAATTTTTAACGATATATATAAAAAAAATATTTTTAACGATAATTTTAATAAAATTTATTTTTAATAAAAATTAAATCTAATTATTAAAACTATTGTTAATTTACCCAAAAATGAATGCCAAACTTCTAAAATAGAGGTCGCAGTGAGTCAGCCCCAATAATGTAACCTGGACAAAAATAATTATCAATTTGTCAAATTAAATATTATTGTATGCATGACCAAAACGGAAAGGCATTTTTGATGTTCCACTTTTGCCCTTTTCTTCCTTTTATGTTTCAGAAAAAAGGTCTAGTTTTTTCCCTCTGGCTGGAGGAGAGAGAGACGGAGAGGGGAGGGGGTCAGAAACCGATCTCAGAGGCTCGTTGTTTGTTTTTGTTTCCTGAGAAAATGGAGTGAGAAAGAAAATTCTTATAGTGGGATTCTCAGGTTTTTTTTGGTTTTTTTTTTTTCTGCTACATTTTCTGATTAAAATCAAAAGAAATTTCAAATGGGGGCAGAGAGCGCCTCGAACTCAAACTCCGAACGTCGTGGTGGTGGGAACACCATTTACGAGACCCCAGTTGTGTTGAATGTCTACGACCTCACACCTGCCAACCAATACACCGTTTGGTTCGGTTTGGGAATCTTCCATTCTGGTATTGAAGGTGATAAAATTTCTTATTCCTAATCCTGATTTGATCCCATATATGCGTGTATATATATATTCAGATTTGAGAATGTGAATTGGGTTTTGTTTAGTTTTGGAAATTTTGTTTTTGTTTTTTTTTTTTTTTTTTTTTTTGAGATGATTATTATCAGAAAAATGGAGCTCCTTTTGGTTTACTTTTTGTTCTGTTATGTACCCAGAAAAATAAATAAATAATTTACTCAGAAAAATGTCAGGGATTTGATTGTAGAGTGTAGATTTAAACACGGTGTTACCCAGAATTCCTGATCCTCGCATTTCAATTTCTGGGTATGTAGATCTTGAATTTTGATTTATTTATTGGATGGGAGTTGGTTTTTGTTTTGTTGTTTAATATTCTCTTGGCTTTTGATTATAGGGTTTTTTGTCTGCCATAATTTCATGCTGTTTCTAGAGCAAGATTTGAAATGGAACATTTTTTTATTATTTATAATTAAGCGTAGAACTGGAGGATATCTGGAAAAATGGAAAAGATAGAATTTGTGAGATTTTTGTCAATTTACTTTGTGCATTGAAAGTGTTTGTAATCTGGATGATCCAAGGGCTTATCAAATGTTCTGTGTATGATGATTGATAACAAGAATTTTATTAAAATAATAAATTAAAAAATTATTAAAACAAATTCCGTAGGGAAGGTAAAATTTTATTTTAAAAAAATTCAAAAGGCGAAGCCCTTTTCCTTGATACATAAGTTTCCAGAAGCAAATCCCATCAATCTTTTTCACAAAACAAAGTACCTACTCTGCTGTTAACAATCTAAAAACAACACAATCTTCCCTTTCTTTTTTTTCTTTTTTTTTGATAACTGGGTGTCTGGGCTAGCCAGCGCGCACCTCAACTAATTCTGGAGCCCTAAAGTTAACAACTGGGCAAACCTCTAGTGGCCTTGAGGTAGTGACTCAAAGTCTTTAGGAATTGGCCAACCCCTTAGGGTTAACAAGACAATCTTCCTTCACAAAGACACTACACTACCAATATTCTATCCCACCCTTGCACATCTCATTTGCAAACTTGCTTTAATGGCGGTCCCTAATTCTCTCAGATTTGCTTTGCTACCTTGGTATCTTTTGCAGCCTTTAAATCTTGCTTTAACATGTCAGCCAATAGTACATATCATTGAATTGTCATCTTTGCAATTGTTCTCAAGAGTTAGTAGCTTGTGTTGAAGCCAAAGGTGATAACTAAGGCTGCAAAAACTATTCTTCAAATTACCTATAAAAAAAAAACGAACACTTCTTCAAAGAGCCTTTGAATTTATTGCTATCCCATGAAACATTTTAATCTCAGGAGAGAGGATTATTTTTTTTTTTTAAATCCATTTTATTACCAAAAAAGAATGGAGATGGAATTCTTGCATCTCCTCATAACTTGAAAACCTATGAAGTATGGGTACTCCAAAAATGGTGCCGTACAAGTACCAAGTACTTACCGGGTGCGGGTACGTGTACCGGGTACGGAAAATACATTTGGGTACGTCGTGGGTACGGCTGAATTTTTTTTTTTTTTTTTTTTTTTTTTTTTGCAGATGCTTTTTTTTTTTTTTTAATGCAGCTGTTAGAATTTGTTGTAGCCTTTATTATTCTTCTTTCAATTTCGAAAATCATCAAATAATTTATTTCCAATACCCTTTATTCATGAGTCATGGTTTTGTTTTCTTTTGAATCTTGTTTTAGACAATCAAAAAAGAAAAAGAAGGCATTATATAACTTTTTAGATAAGTTGTTCTCTTTTTAGTTTTGATATTAAAATTTTGATTTATATGTTGGATGTTTAGCTATTACTTTAAAAATAAATTAAAAAAAAAAAATTGACATACCCTAGCCATACCCGTACCTTACTTTTTTAAGAATTTTCCGTATTGACATACCCATATCATACCCGCACCCATGCTTCATAGTTGAAAACGATAGGTAATCTACAGCCAGACAGCAAATGATAATAACACTCGTGTTCTACATAAACAGTTGATAGTTTCTTAATAATTTATTTGGCCACTAATGTGTCCTGTGGTGATAATCAATCTTTCATTGCTAACCACGGGATAAATGAACGCCGAGGAATTCATTTGGGCAACCACAATAAATGGGACCAGATTACAGTAGGAGCTTTCTCTTTTAGAGCTGCCCATGTACTTTCCACAGTATACATACCTATAGGAGAAGGAAGCCAGATATTTGACAGGTAACATGCCTTCTTTGAATGCCAATATATTCAAAATTTAATGCTTTATATCTTCCTTCACTGCACACTTATCTTTTGGCTGAAGCAAATCGTTTTGTGAACAATAGCACAACTATGAGCCTGCTTTCCTACAATTATGATTTAGGCCTCGATTGGGAAGCGATCAGTTTAGCCAAAAAGTCAAAAAGTTACTAAAAAAGCCAAAAAGCTAACAACCCATACCAAAAAGTCAAAGATTCTCTTTTCTCTCTACTTTTTGCACATCTTTTCGTAAAAGCCAAAAAGTCATCCCAAATATACTAATTTTTTTTAACTCATATTTTAGGTAAATAGTCAAAAAGTTACTAAATTAGCCTGTTCCCAAACGAGGCCTTAGTAATACATTTGGGAAAGATATCATTTGACATTCATATGAAAAGAAAAAAAGAAAAAAAAAAAAAAAAAAGAGAAAATGTAACTGTGTTTTGTATATTGTATGTCATCTAATGGAAAATTACATAGTATTCTAGGACATGTTCTTCAAAGAAGCATCATTAAAAATGAGAATTGCAGTGTCAGGAAATACGTGATTCTAACAACTTAATGGCACATTTTTCTGTTGTTTTTCTTCTCCTTTTCTGTATGTTTGTTTGCAATGAACACGAAGAACATAAAGATTGTTGTGCTTCACCTCTTACAACATTAATATTTTTTTAATAGTTCTGATCTTGTTCAATGCACACATTTACAGAGTTGTCTTTTCTAGATAGCTGCTACTGTGAGAGAGATTACTTTTTTCCTTTTCTTAATTAGTTAAGCTGCCCTAGCAATTTAATCTGAAAGAATCATTACATTCATGTCTGACACTTATTTCCTTCTAACATATAGCAAACTATTTTTTTTCAGTCCATGGAATGGAATATGGATTTGGCGCCCATGACTTCCCAGTTAGTGGAGTGTTTGAAGTGGAGCCGAAAAGCTGCCCTGGTTTTATATTTAGATGTTCCATCCCACTGGGTCATACAAGTATGCCTCCCTATGAATTTCGGACATTTATTGAGAGTGTGGCTTCTGAGTACCATGGGAATACCTATCACCTCATCTCCAAGAATTGCAACCATTTTACAAATGACATTGCATGGAGACTCACAAGCAAACATATCCCTGGGTGGGTGAACCGGCTTGCCCGGCTAGGTATGTTGAGTTTTGCCAGCTAACTAATGTTTCTCGTGTACTTCATGTTCAATCTCTTGTTTCATGTATTATTAACATGGAAAATGCCAAGTATTAAATATTATTTAATGGATGAAATTAACAAATCTTACACAAAAAATTAATAAAAAGTCTAATTGATTTGACATACAATAACATGGAAAATGCTAAGTATTAAATATTATTTAATGGATTAAATTAACAAATCTTACACAAGCACACGCAAAAATCTAATTGATGTGACACACAATAACTGGACGTTGGAATTTGAAATAGGACCCTCTTTAATAATATTATGATAGGCGGCCATATCAATGAATAGGAAAAGTTTATTATATTTGTTTGTTTGTATAGCATTACTCTATTAACAATATCATGGATTAGGCTATATGGTTGTGACTTCACTTTTTCAATTCATCATTAGGAATATGCCTTTCAGCTTTTTGTTGCCTTTTATCTGTGTGCCTTTAGCTTTCTAGGGCTCTTTTTCTTTTTTTTCCTTTTCTTTTCTTTTTTTTTCTTTTTTTTTTTAATGTAAGAGGTTTGTTGTTCGAAACAAAATGTAGATTTAGTTGTTTTGGGGTGTTTGGTTGCCATTAGTAATGAAAATTACCCCATGGCTTTTGACCTAGTGGTTGTGTAGCACCTTTTGTGGTGTGTGGTCTCTGGTTCAACTCTTATGGAGAAGAATTTGATACCCTTTGTGGTGCTTTATTTTTCCTCCATTAATGGGGGTTGCACGTTAGTGGTTGTTGGGCTTGGCTTAGTGGCTAAGAAGTATGGACACGGACACGGACACGTGACACAACACAGAGATGATACGGACACAACGACACGTTAATTTTTAAAAAATGCAAGACACAACACGTGGGGGACACACAAGAAATATATGGCTCCGTTTGGTAGATCTTTTGAAGTTTAATTCTACCCCTTAGTTTGAGTGTGTTGTTTGGTTATAATTTTAGAAAATTAATTTCACACCCACTTTTCAAAACACTCACTTTTCAATATTATATGTCACATCACTCAATTCAAACTCTTTTTAAAACTCATAACCAAACAAATTTTTCACTCAAATCATAATTTCAAAACTGTTCCATCCCACTGGGTCATACAAGTATGCCTCCCTATGAATTTCGGACATTTATTGAGAGTGTGGCTTCTGAGTACCATGGGAATACCTATCACCTCATCTCCAAGAATTGCAACCATTTTACAAATGACATTGCATGGAGACTCACAAGCAAACATATCCCTGGGTGGGTGAACCGGCTTGCCCGGCTAGGTATGTTGAGTTTTGCCAGCTAACTAATGCTTCTCGTGTACTTCATGTTCAATCTCTTGTTTCATGTATTATTAACATGGAAAATGCCAAGTATTAAATATTATTTAATGGATGAAATTAACAAATCTTACACAAAAAATTAATAAAAAGTCTAATTGATTTGACATACAATAACATGGAAAATGCTAAGTATTAAATATTATTTAATGGATTAAATTAACAAATCTTACACAAGCACACGCAAAAATCTAATTGATGTGACACACAATAACTGGACGTTGGAATTTGAAATAGGACCCTCTTTAATAATATTATGATAGGCGGCCATATCAATGAATAGGAAAAGTTTATTATATTTGTTTGTTTGTATAGCATTACTCTATTAACAATATCATGGATTAGGCTATATGGTTGTGACTTCACTTTTTCAATTCATCATTAGGAATATGCCTTTCAGCTTTTTGTTGCCTTTTATCTGTGTGCCTTTAGCTTTCTAGGGCTCTTTTTCTTTTTTTTCCTTTTCTTTTCTTTTTTTTTTTTTTTTTTTTTAATGTAAGAGGTTTGTTGTTCGAAACAAAATGTAGATTTAGTTGTTCTGGGGTATTTGGTTGCCATTAGTAATGAAAATTACCCCATGGCTTTTGACCTAGTGATTGTGTAGCACCTTTTGTGGTGTGTGGTCTCTAGTTCAACTCTTATGGAGAAGAATTTGATACCCTTTGTGGTGGTTTATTTTTCCTCCATTAGTGGGGGTTGCACGTTAGTGGTTGTTGGGCTTGGCTTAGTGGCTAAGAAGTATGGACACGGACACGTGACACAACACAGAGATGATACGGACACAACGAGACGTTAATTTTCAAAAAATGCAAGACACGACACGTGGGGGACACGCAAGAAATATATTGCTCCGTTTGGTAGATCTTTTGAAGTTTAATTCTACCCCTTAGTTTGAGTGTGTTGTTTAGTTATAATTTTAGAAAATTAATTTCACACCCACTTTTCAAAACACTCACTTTTCAATATTATATGTCACATCACTCAATTCAAACTCTTTTTAAAACTCATAACCAAACAAATTTTTCACTCAAATCATAATTTTAAAACTCACAAACTCAAAATACAATTCTATTCTCAAATTATAATTCTAAAACTCTACCAAACGCAAAGATATAATTTTATATATTTATTATATGTTATATATATGAATATGTCATTTAATGATAATAAAAAATGCAATATGACACTAATTTCTATAAATTTATATGATTTTTGTTTTATTGTTGTATCTTAAGTTGTTTTGTTCAAACTTGTAATTAGTTTTACATGTGTTTAATCGATAGGCGCGTGTGTTTAAGCGATTTGACACGTGTGTCCTCCAAGTGTCCAAAGAGTGTCTGGGTCTTTAAAAAAATTTAAAAAATAGAACAAGTTTTGAAGAGTGTCGGACACGTGTCCTAAGAGTGTCGGTGTCCGACACGGACACGACACGACACAAATACGTCACCTTCTTAGTAGTGTCCGTGCTTCTTAGCTTAGTGGGCTTGGTGGTTTGGTTATTAGATTTTGTGACTTTCTAGCTAGTGGTTTGTTTGATAATATAAATATTTCTCATAATCTTTAAAAATAAAAATAAATAAATAAAAACACTTATTTTCATGGAACACTTTTGGCTTATTTTTATCTGTTTTGAAGTTTTTCAAATTTTTTCTGTCTAATTTTTAAAATTTATAGGTTCGTCTGGTCTGGAGACAGGCCTAAAATGTAGCTCAATTAAAAATAAAATAAGAGGACTTACAAACTACAGCGGAAAGAATAGAAACTTATCTCTTTGACTACTGACATCTTTTATTTTGGGGATCCAAGTAGGAATTGTTTGAGTCTCGGAAACATTTTCATGTCTAGCAGAACATTTCTTGGTGAAATCTGTGGTAGTTTGATTAACAGTATATTTGAGCTGTTTAATTTTCCTCAAAATGGATTAAGATCCCGCGTATCTAACTCTGACCCAAAATTTCCAATTTATTACATTCCACAACCATGAAGTGGATTAGATTAGATCATCGTTAGTCAATTAAAATCTAATTTCTTATGCCAATATCATCATTTACATGTGCTTGCAATTCATTGAACATAAAAAGAATTCTAAAATACTCCTTTTCGTTCAAATATTAGGTTCTGTATGCAGTTGTCTGCTTCCTGAAAGCCTTCAAGTAACTACTGTTAAACAGCTGCCTGAGTACCATGCTTGTGCAGGTTTGTGTTGTTTTTTTTCTTTTTTTGTGAATTTCCTATCCTTAGGACTGATCAACTCGGCCTCTAATTTTGTATTTTTGCCTTCACATCCAGAAGAAGATGGGACAGAGTCTTTGTCAACCACCACCCGTGAGTCAACAGAAAGTGATGATGCAAATCAAGATAAGCTCCTGCTGTCACCGCCTGCTCGTGGCTCGGATGTTGCTTTTATTAAAGAGAGGCCCGATGGTGACAGTAAGCTGCCTGCTTGAAATTGATCTTTTAGCACTGTGGAAGAGGGGAAATTCTTCCTTCACTGATCTTTATTTTGTCATGAAAGGCAGCCTTAAGACGAATACCCGCTCTCCATTTTCATAGCAAAGTTGGGAATCATTGCGTCATTGATTGTGTGCATGATGTTTGCTTGCTTTGCTGTAGTTTTTTTTATTTAGACTTTTTTTTGCATTTCTCTGTATTTAATTTAAGTGGAAATTGGGAGTGAAGAATATGGAAACAGAAGGAAATGGGGTTGTAATTTATTTTGTATAAATTTTCTGTGTTGGACTCTGAGCAAATTGGAAATGCCATCTCAACTTGTTAAATTTTCTAACAAATCTCCAAGCTTCAAAGTCGCCAGTTCAAGACTTCTCTAAATATGAGAATTGGCACATGTGGGCTGATTTTTGCCATTTGTCTCCACTTTTTTTTCTTTAGGCCTCTTCTTTTAATAATTTTTTTTTTTTACAATTTTATTTTTACTCAAATTTTTAATTCTAAATATACCTTTAACTCTTCAAACTCTAAAACTTATTCTATACCATCCTAGCCGCTGCCACCACCTCTGGGCACCGCTACTCCCGCCACCCCCTTGAGAGAGAGAGAGAGAGTTGTGTCAGAGAGAGCAATAGGGAACAAGGGGAAGGAGAAGGGTTGTGGTGGGAGAGGGTTGTAAGGGGTCGTGGTGGTGTGGAGGGAGTAGAGAGCATCAAGAGAATTTAGATGGTGACTAGGGTTAGGGATGAGAGTTAAAGTTGGAATTAAGATGGGTCTTCAAAAGAAATATCAAAATATTTAACTAGGGTCCAAGAAAGGTGGAAAGAAAGGAAAATTTGAAGGCTAATAATAGCAACACTCCAAACAAGCTTTGAGTGTTTTTTTTGGATGAGCATGTTAGTCAATGTTAAGAAATAAGTGCAGTTGTTTTTGTCGAAGTTGTTCAGCATGACAGTAACTGCTTGCAATTTGCTGTGTGAAAAATGAGTTTAAGAGGGAGGCAATGGCGGTGCATAAAACAGGATTTCCATCCAAACACTGAAAGCCTCCATTACTGTCCTACCTATAGCTTCAGAGAAGAATGCGATATTACTATTACTATTACTGTTGGGAGTTATATGCAGCCATGAAAGGTGATTGGAGCTGCAACATATCTGCACAATCCTTCCACCGCACAGATGCGTCACGGGCATAAATCCAATAAGCACATGTTTGGATCATAAATTTAGGTAAAAATTTGAAAATGAAATATAAACTAAAAACACTTTGGAAAAATATTTTTTATCAAAACGGAGCTGGATGTGCGAAAAAGTTGAGCTTCCAATGAGGTTGCCATAGAAGATCGAAATGTTCTAGGAGAAAGCCTAGTGCACCCTAGAAGGCAATACCCCACCCAAGAGCTAAGCAATTTGGCTAATGGAACTGCCTTGATCAAAAAGCAAACACCCGGTCGTGGACCAAACCAGAAAAGCAAAGAGAATTCACAGTTCAACAATTGGGATTTTCTTCCTGCTATTGGGTGCCTGCTATGAACAAGAATGCCCACTATGGGTCCATGGAGATAATTTGAAGCAAACGAGTAACTTCCAAATACTCATTGATGTAGCACATGAAAATGCCTAATTAAGCAATTTGCTTTCAGATTGAATACTAGAAGTGCATCTTAATGGATGAGATCATAAACATTCATAGACTCCAAAGGTCTATAGAGATGCCAACAAACCAAACATGAAAAGCATTAAAAAAAATTAGTGAAATGTCAATGTACCATATATCTCTCACATCCAGATAGTTGTCCCCTTTCCAATAATTATCCAAAGGCTAGACGTTCTGACAATTTCTCAATGCCCTTCGAGACCCAGCTTCGAAGTTAGCCAAGAACATAACTCATCCATCTCTTCAGGAATTGTGTAATGGCCAAGCCTGTGAAGTTTGCAGGTAACTATCTTAAGTTCCTACAAAATTTTAACGAATCGAAGAACTAGAGTTTCATTCAGGGAAAATATGAAATTACACACCCATTGTAGGCTTTGAATGTCACGTCTTGAAATCCAGCTGAACTCAAGGCTTGTGAGGATTTTTCACCAAATTTAAAACGAACCACGTCATCACCTGCAACAGATTGTACCAAAATTAATACTGTATGGCCTCGGCTCGGCCTAGAATATTAATAGCCAAGAAACCATTGCCAAAGCTTGGTGGAGCTCTAGGAAAACATCTACACATTATAACAATTATTCACCACTATTCACTCATGAGATCGTTGACTGGAGAAATCAACTTTTCATCTAACTAATAGGTGGTGGAGCTCTAGGAAAACATCTAAACATTATGGCAATTATTCACCACTATTCACTCATAAAACGAGATCGTTGACTGGAGAAATCAACTTGTTCATCTAACTAATAGGTGCAACTCTCTTTTGAGTTATTCCAATTTCTTCGGGAATTTTTTTCCAACTATTTCCCGTACCCAAACATTATGGCAATAAATCTGAGACATTGATCTGTTTTGTTTTCAACTAAGGATCCATTCAACTTTCCCATTAAAAAAAAAAAAAACACTTTTTTAGCATTTACCAAATGTATCAGCTTTTTCTGCAACAACTTTATCCTAAAATAAAAAATACTTAAAAAACAATTGCCAAACCAACCCTGAGTGTCAAACCAACTTGTCTGTCTATGCAAAGTTCATAATCTTGAGAGACACAACTCTGGCATATACTAATCCAATATTCCATTTCGATATGCACCGGAGTAGAGTGTAGTGCAAACTGTAAGGAACTTAAATTTGAGGAAAAGAAAACCTACAATCTCCAATTAGGCTGTGATCATTTATGGATATGCAAGCCCTAATATAATTTCAAGTAAATCAGAATCACTGGTTTTTATTAAGGCATACTCAAGAATTTTCGAAAGGATGCCCAAGTAGATTCTCCTGTCTTCTATTGACTCGAAACAGCAGGACTAATTTCAGTAAACTTGATAAGATGATTATGCATGTAAAATCTGCAACCATGATGAAAGCAAAAACATGATGCCCTGTACTATGGGAAAAATAAGACAAGCAAGCCTGTGTACCGGTCTACTTGGTTTGTCGATAAGCTTATTGAATCAGTATCAAGTTCCGTAAAGCCAGTCCTATCCTTGGCCACCTTGCTTCTCAGGCAGAACTTAAGTTGGCTAGTTTTGAGCCAGAATGAATTGTTCAACACTTTCAAGCGCACGCACACACATGCTTGATCCACAACATGAGAGCGTCGACTGTCGAGGAGACTAAAAAGGGTTCTGGTAACAAAGAAACTACAAGAAGCCATAGCTGCACAATTCATTCTCAACAGGCATACCCATACTAATAGATATCTACTGGCAAACTTGACACAAATTTTGTTTTATTTATCTTGACTTGATAGGAATCTGGATTTGAAATAATGGAAAACAGAAAATAAACACATTGATACAAGGGGGTTGTTGCTGGGGATTCAACATTACAGATGAAAGCCTTCAATCTGATGTATCATAGTTTCTGGAAAGGTTTATAAAAAAAGGAAAGAAAAAGCCCAAACGAACAGACTGACATTTAGCCGAGAAGACATCAATAGCTATGCATCAAGAGGCTGGGAGTTCAAATTCCCAGAAAGATAAGTATGATCTCAAGCGATGGGCGAGATGGGGTAGGTGCAGAGGCAATATTGCAATTGCTTGAACTGATGTGAAAAAAAAGGAGGAACCATATATCCCAATGATTATTATCACCAACATTTATTGTCAAATACAAGAATACCGTTGAAATTATGGGATTTTGATATACTGAAACTCGAAAAGGGGCAAGATGCAAGGCAATAGACATCCAAATATGAGTCCTTCAACCCAAGAAGCCTACCAAGTCAAACTAATCGACAAAGAAAGCTAGGACAATTGTATAAGTTGAGAAGTACGGACACTTCTAAAAATGTGGCATGTCCGTGTCATGTCGTGTCCGTGTCGGACACCAACACTCATTAGATACTTCCTGACACATGTCCGACACTCATCAAAACGTATCTTATTTTCTTAAAAAACAATTTAGACCCAAACACTCCTTGAACACCTGGTAGACACACGAGTCCATTTCTTAAATACATGTGTCCATTGATTAAACTCACATGAAACTAATTATAAGTTTAAACAAAATAACTTAGGATACAATATAATAAAAGAAAATTAATATAAATTTAGAAAAGGGTTAATTACACAAAAAACCCCAGAGTTTCGTGTCTTTTTCATTTTAAATCCCAAGTTTTCAATTTCGACAAATTACACTCCATCCTTTCACCCGTGTTTCAAAAGAAAAATAATGTAAATTTATAATAAGTTAATTACACAAAAAAAAACCCAGAGTTTCGCGCCTTTTTCATTTTAAACCCCAGGTTTTCAATTTTGACAAATTAAACCCCATCCTTCCACCCATGTTTCAATCTGGTCCCTCTGTCCATCTCTGTCATATTATAACGGAAATCTAGACAGAATTTCAAATTCAAACCCATATATTCAAGCACTTTTATCTCCCTCGTCATAACTCCGTTTCGCCTCATTTTGCATCGTTGGATTCACCTCACAGCCTAGCTTTCATTCCAACCCTCATATGCATTGTTCCACCTCTTTTTGCATGCCGTCGGAGCTCCGCAAGTTGGCTAAAAATAAATTCTCTCTTTGGGCAAAATTTTTAGATTCAAACTCACATATTCAAGAACTTGTATCTCCCTCATCGTAACTCTATTTTGCCTCATTTTCGCGTCGTTGGATTCACTTCATGGCCTAATTTTCATTCCACCCCTCGTACGCCTTGTTTCACCTTTTCTTGCGTGCCATCAAAGCTCTAAAAATTGACCAAAAATAAGATTTTTCTCTCTTTTTTTTCTTTCTTCCTCTATCTCCTATCTCCATGCTTCTTCCTTTCTCCTTCCTTTCCACAATTATTCTCTCTTTTCCTCTTCCTTCATGGGCCTTCCACCAAGCTCATGGTGGCCACCGAACCTCCGACGGTGGCGGTGCCATCGAGTACGGAGGTATATGACTTACAAGAAGGGAAAGAAACGTAAGGGTGGGGAAAAGGCCATGAAAGAAAAGGAAAGGAGAGAATAATTGTGGAAAGGAAGGAGGAAGGAAGAAGCATGGAGATAGAAGATAGAGGGGGAGGAAAAAAAAGGGGAGAAAAATCTTATTTTCGGCCAACTTTCGGAGCTTCAACAGCACGCAAAAAGAGGTGGAACAGGTATATGAGGGATGGAATGAAAACTATGTCATAAGATGAATCCAATGACATAAAAATGAGATGAAACGGAGTTACAACGAGAGAGATACAAGTGCTTGAATATGTGTGTTTGAATCTGAAAATTTTGCCCAAAGGGAGACAAATCTTATTTTTGACCAAGTTTCAGAGCTCTGATGGCAAGTAAAAAGAGGTGAAACAAGGCATATGAGGGATGAAATGAAAACTAGGCCATGAGGTGAATCTAATCAAGTGAAAATGAGGTGAAAAAATGGAGTTACAATAAGGGAGATACAAGTTCTTGAACATGTGAGTTCAAATCTGAAAATTTAGCCCAAAGAGAAAAATTTTATTTTTAGTCAACTTTTGGAGCTTTGACGGCATACTAAAAGAGGTAGAACAAGGTGTATGAGGGGTGGAATGAAAATTAGGCCGTGAGGCGAATCCAACAACGCAAAAATGAGGCGAAACAGAGTTACGACGAGGGACATACAAGTGCTTGAACATGTGGGTTTGAATCTGAAATTTTGCCTAGATTTTCATTAGTTTAATATGACGGAAATAGAGGGAGGGGCCAAATTGAAACATAGGTGGCAGAATGGGGTTTAATTTGTCAAAATTAAAAATCTAAGGTTTAAAATGAAAAAGACGAGAAACCTTGGGTTTTTTTTGTGTGTAATTAGCCCTTTATAAAATAAGTGTTATATTGTATTTTTTATTATTATTATGATCTTTGAATGATATATTCATGTGTGGGATATATAATTAATAAATATATATTTCATACGTGTCGTGTCTTGCATTTTTTGAAAATTGGCATGCCGGCGTATCCGTGTCATATCTGTGTCATGTCTCATGCCTGTGTCTGTATCTGTGTCTGTGTCTGTGTCCGTGTCCGTGTCCGTGTCCGTGTCCGTGCGAGAGAAAAGAGTGAAAGAGATCAGGACAACTGGGTAGGAAATATTCAGCCCCATCATCGAGGTAACCAAAAAAATAAAATAAAAGGCAATGTTTTCCTAGTATAGCATAACAAGTCTTTCTCTTTGAACTACCAAGCTCCAATTTTAGACTCAATGGTGGCTTGTACAGCAATTAATTGAACTCCAATAAATTGCTAAACTAGCTGGCCTAAAAAAATTGAGGCCTAGTTTGGGAATTACAAAAAAAGCCAAAAAACTAGTTTGTTATTAGCTAAAAAAGTTAAATGTCAAATCAATTTTTTCACTCACAAAAAAGCAACTAATCATTGCAACTTTCCAAACACATTAGTTTTTTTAGCTTCTAAAAAAGCCAAAATATCACTAAACAAGGCAACCCCAAACGAGGCCTAAATAAAACGTACACCTGCTAAAACATGTAAATCCTACATTAATAGGATATGAGAGAGAAATGTGATTACCTCTACCATGACAAACCATAATAGGCAAGGATGCAGCCCGTCTTGTAGCTTCATCTTTCCCTTCTATCCTACTACTCAAGTTCCTGGGGAAAAAAAAATGTCAAATTGTAATTAATGCATGAGATAAATTGCAACAAGATATTAAGGCATAAAGGATGAGAAAGAGCATATTGTAAAAGTCAAACTTTGCACATGGAAGCCAGCCACTTAGTCCAACAGCGGCACTTAAATTGGCTGGGTATGGGCTGCCATTCTCATACTTCCCAAGAGCAAAGCAAGTTGCAGAATAGAGGGCTGTTGCTGCACCCATACTAAAACCTCCAACTGCAAGCTTAACTGTAACAGAGAATAACAAAATTAAATGATTTTGAAGTGATGTTTATTTTTCAATATACCAGAAATCAGTTTATATCACAAGTAACTGTTAGCATAATATCTTGTTTTTATGTATTTTTATTCTATCTAGCTGTCATTGGTTGTAGTTTCCTTATTTGTTGCCTTAAGGCTTCCCTTGTACGTTTCTTATTATTAATATAAAAGGGAGTGATAGTCTTATCATTCCCTAAGTTTGTTCTTCTCTCAACCAAACATTAACTATTAATCGAATGCTCAGGGAACAGTATTAAACAATTCTACTGTGTCCTCAAGGCACTAAAAGAAATGAGTCCTTTAGAACAAACACAATTTAATGAATGGTTTGAGAACCACAAATCACATATAAAACAAATGAAACAGTGTCATTGCATGAAATCCTGGGCATGATACTGTACAAAATATTAAAAGTTCATTTCAAATGCATTTAAAAGAAAAATGGAATTTACAGAAGCCCATGTTATACATGATGGAATAAAATCCTCTCCATGGGATTCCAAACATCACTTTTATGCTGGAAATTCAAGAAAAGTCCCAAAACACACACAACATAGGGACAGTACCAACAGCAGGAACATGTTCAAGCTTAAGGATAGAATAACATAATCCACATAACTTGGAGATAGACACTGCCGATCTTAAAAACTGATGCATACTGCATTGATACAGAAATTACAGCAATACTGAAAGTACGGTTGTTAGAATCATGTGATTCACAATTGGATTCATGCCATTCGTTACAAGTTTCAACCACAACGATTTGAATCACGCTAAATTGAGTGAATTGTGCTATTCAATTTGCAACTCTAGGCGATTTAATTCTGTTTTTGTTTTTGTTTTTGTTTACATAATGCATGAAACGATCTCTATCAAGAAATATATTTTTAATAATTTTAATTATTTGTATATACATATATACAATTTAGTTTATATTAAAATTTATTTCATTTTTGACACTATGCATGCATTTTTATACGTACATACATATATAAAACTATATACTATAATAAATAAAGTGAAACTTATGATTCACAATTTGAGACGATTTGAGGTCCACTGTTTTAGAAAAACGTTTCATGATTCAATTTGCAATTTAATAACAATGTATGATCAATCAAAAAAAAAAACAAAAACAAAAAAAAGAAACACCAAAAATAATAATAATAAAAAGAGGTGAGGCTTATTGAGAAGGTGAAAACTGGAAAGAAAATGGAGAGAGAAATAAAAGGATGTTCATGGGAGTTGTGCAGCACAGAATTTTCTCAAGATAATAATGAACTTTATACTAGACCAAACTAAAGAATCAACTAGATCTAATTGTCCAAGATCCATTGTACCATGAAGAAATGCACCAATTCAGCTCTTATACTCCATCCACGAACCTAAATATAATGAAGTTACAGAATCTTTTAACAGGATGGAGTTGAAGGGACTATTGTACTTTCCCATGAATCCTAGCAATCCAGCCTAGGCTTAGTATCTCCATGTCTGAAAATTGCAACTTGTCACAAAGGGATAACCATATGCAAAAGTGCTGCAAGAGAAAACTTACTGTCAGTGGGCTCTGTGGATAACAGACTTGCAACATGTGCTGCTGTTGCATCCAAACCCTCTAAATCATCGTGAGCATTTTCCGAAAGGTCATTTACGTCAAACCCTAATTTTGGTTCCAACCATGAGTATCATGTTCATAACAATATAACTGTACACTACAAAATAAAACCTTTTGTTGAAAGAAAATAAACAGGACGACAGTATGTTCCTATTTCAGTAATTATTTTTCCTTTTTCCATAATTTTTCTGTAAAAATTCAAAATCAAATATATTTCTTGACCCTTTCACCATAATTCAATCACTTATAACTATGGAAGCAGTCAAGACTGGAATGGTGATATTTAATCCAAAGGGCTAAGAAGCACAAACACTTCTAAGAAGATATATATCGTGTCGGGTCATGTCCATATCCGAGACTGACACTCATCGGACACTTCCTGACATCTGCCGAACACACATCCAAATGTGCCATATTATTTATATAAATAAATAATAAAAAAAAAACCAAGCTAAGGCACACTTTGGATGCTTGGGGGATATACATGTTCATTGTTTAGACACACATGAAACACATTATAAGTTTAAACAAAATAATTGAGGATAAAACGGTGAAAGAAAAATTATATAGACTTGTACCTATTAATCTCTCCTTCAAACTTTAGCAGCATTTTCTATTATCTTTGAATGAAATATTAATATATATATATATATATAATATAAAATCATATATTTTGTTTGTCCCCCACGTGTCATGTCTTACAGCTTTTGAAAATTGATGTGTCGGAGTGTCCATGTCGCGTCGTGTGTCCGTGTCCATATCTATGCTTCTTAGCCAAAGGGGAAAAAAAAAGTTTCTCAAAACATGCCAACTTACAAGCAGTAGAAGGAAAACCACCAAACAAAGATATTGGTTGAGAAGGAGCAGTTGGGCAAATCCATTTAATCTGCACAGCACCACATATATTTAACCTAAGCATATATTGAGATTTTATAGATGAAAAGGACATTCAGGGGTTGTTTGGGATGATCTAAATAAGTGCACTTTTCGACTTTTTATGAAATATGAGTTGAGTTTGGGTTGGGTTTGAAGTGATGTGTTAGAGAGGTGATGTGACTTAAATAAGAAGATGTGACTTAAATAAGATAGTGACTTTTTGACTTTTTATCTTTTTCAAGACATGCCAAACTTGGCCTCAATTTTCTCATCATGGATTTTCAAGGAAAAAAGTGCTGATGTAAGTGTCAACATATGTGCAAAAGATCTCAAGGTATCATACATTTGGAAGAGGGAGCGTCTCCAGGAGTTGGGACCAGCTGGCAAAAATAACCAAAGCACTAAATGAGGATTGGAGTTACAATTGCAATATCTCAAAAAATTGACATCCATTAAAATAAAACCAATTCATTGGGAACTAAACACAACTTCAATGCTTATTAGAAAGACATCAAATAAATATCAAAAGAATACAAATGGGACCATTAACTTACCCTTTGTGTGTGCATGGGTGGGTGAGTGGAGATATACTGAAGTCTTGGAATGCCATCATTTTATATAACAATGTTTTAAAAAAAATCAATAAATAATTACTCACCTACATGCTAAGAAAAACACAGTTGACTCAGATTTTGTACCACATAAAACACAATAAACAGATTCAAATTTCTAAAGCATACTCAAAATTCTATTGGACTACACAACTGGTGAATAGAATCTATTGCACATCAAAATCACAATAGCACATTCAATAAAAGAATTATGACCCATTTTCCTTACTGGATGAAAAAAATAATGAAAACTAGAAATACAAAGTAGTACTGGATGGACATATTTGCTATTCAAATGTGTAGGCAGTCCCCCATCTAAAGCTTTAGTAGTAGTTAATGGGTAGAACCTTGTACAATCAAAAGCCAAAGCCAAAAAGCTATGCGTCTAGAGGCATGTATAAAAGAAGAAACTTAAAAAGGACAATCCTCTCTCATCTACAAAAAAAATATATACATATATATATATATATAGAGAGAGAGAGAGAGAGATCCTTTCAGACTAATACAAAGATTGTTCATAATCATCAAACAGCCTCCCATTATCTACTCTCCAAATAGTCCATAAAACACAGTGTTGCAGTCAGCCACATATTCCTTACCAACAATCTAAAGATTTATTATAGAGGAATGCTATATAAAGACACGAATCTCACAAAACTACTCTTACTTGTAGATGTGGCAGTTGAGTTGCTTATGTCATGTTATTTTAGTGAATCATATTTCAAAGATCAAAGCTTTAATGAAGGAGGTGTGTCGGGTCAGAAATCTGTGCCAAACACAACACTTTTTCAACGTGTCTGAATTAAATATTTAAATTCATAGTATCAAACACTTCTCAAACATTTGGCAACACTTCTTGAACCCTCCCAACACGATCTATATAATGAATTTCTTCGTAGTAACAATGTTCTACATTTTTCAAAAAGCAACTTGTACACTCTTTGTTTTGAAATATTTATAAGATGATTCATTCGTGTATTTCAATTTTCTATAATTGTTGTGCATTTTTTACAATGCAGTTGTTACATTAATGATATTTTGATATTTAAGGTATGAGAATATGATATTTTTTAAAATTTTAATTAGTGTTATGTTATGTTCTTGTTTTTTCATTACCTTCGAATATATATTTGACATATTAAATTTATAAAAATATAAATTTTTAACTTGTCCTAGGAATATCATGTCTTATATTTTTTTTAAATCGTTGTGTTAGTGTTTGTGTTGTGCTACATGTCTGTGTTTGTGCACTTAGGCCTCATTTGGCATGCAACACTTTTAGCCTAAAAGTCAAAAAACTACTAAAAAAATCAAAAAGCCTATAACTTACACCAAAACGTCAAAGATTTTCTTTTCTCTCTACTTTTTGCACATCTTTTCGTAAAAAATCAAAAAGTCATTCCAAACATACTAATTTTTTTACCTCATATTTTAGCCCAAAAAACAAAAAGTTACTAAAATATCATGTTCCCAAACGAAGCCTGAGTCTACGAGTAAAACTAGTTTGAGAAATTTGTAAGGTTGCATAGTATTTTCTTAATTATATGGACATTCTGTTTTTATGCGACCCGGAGTCTAAGGGAAGAGAGAGAATCCTAAGCCCCAATTGTTGAACGTTTATATAATTCATAGTGGTATACACCAATGAAATGCACTCATGGCTAAATTTTCTCTATATAAGATTAAAATATGATTCTAAATCACCACAAAGACTATCTATCTTATTTTGTCCTCCTTAAAAAAATTAAGAATAAAATCTAGCCCCTTAAAAAAGTTTCGTTTTTAGGTAACCAAGAATCGATCCTAGGGAGGAGCCCTTTGGACCCACCTCAAGAGCGCAAACTCGAGATATGAGTGACCACCTACTAGCCTCACATATCAGTCGAAGCAAGACATCAAGGGGTGGTTTGGCATCCCAAATGAGTACATACTTTTTATCTTTTTTGAGTCACATCAATCAATATCTTCTCTCTACTTTTTTACACATTTTTTTATAAAAAATAAAAAGTGCACTTATTTAGAATATCCCAAACCACCCCCAAGACTCGAACCTAAGACCACCTGGATAGAACCTGTGCGACTTATCACTTGAGTAGACCCTCACAAGTACAATGAATAATGATCAATCCTCTCTTAGATAAAGAAATGTTTTGCAAGAACAATGAATAATTCTGAGAACATAATGCTTTTAATCTTTTTGGTACTTTTTTTTTATAGAAAAGATGAAAAGGAACAAAAACAAATCATTCGTTTTTTTTTTTAGTTACGTTTGTTCTTTTGACTCAATGTTTTCAAAAACAGAAAATCAAACAAACTTTAACTATGATCTTAAAATTATTACATGCCTAACAACATAAAACGGTCATGAAAAATTTATTGACATAAAATTTTCTGACTTTCAAAAAACAGATTTCATAGAAGTAAATTCTAAACATTGAACCAAATAATCCATTAATTATAAAACATGAATAGTTTGACCAAATATGCTTTTTATAAGAAATTAATAAGGATTTCAAATTTTCAATAATCAATAAACTCATATCAGAGCAAAATTGAGCACAGGATAATAAAATTGCATGTAGAAATCTCACGAATGGTTTCACATGCTTATAGCTTAAAAGGACAAAATGAAATGTTGGTTTCTAAACAACATTCAGCTTCGTTAGACACTGAAATTCAAGCAACTAAAGCTTGAACATTACTTTTCATTTGAAATATAAATACACCCAAATAATATAAAATTAGGACACTCCATTATCTTGCCTCCTCTTTTACATAGCAACCAATCAAGCCTGAAATAGCAATAAATGTGAAAGACCCAAAATGAAAACAAAAAACCTTAATTACACATAAAATACTAGATAGAATAAAATTAACTTTCATCTGGACTACATGTGGCAGAAATTATAAATATTACCTGGCACCATTATCGCCAAGGCCGTGCAACCAGACTATAGTGGCCTGGTGTCTGCCTTTGGGCCTGACCACATGGGTCCCCCCAAACTCAAATGCCCTTCTAGCACTTCCCCCATCTGAAATGGAATTGAAAACAATTTGCTAAAACAAAACCAGAAGTTATAGTTGATCCCAATCCTTTATGTGGGGAACATGCCAACGAGCCAGAAAACTAAAGCTGAATTCATTTTTAACCATTGTTATCAAAATAGTATGATTCACGATAATTCGGTTCAATGCACCAAGCAATTGATTTGTATCTCGGGGTGAATTGATGGAAGCAAGAATCAAATAAAAATCGTACAATTAGCAATATGTTTAGCCAAGATATTCAATTTAGCAAACTAGAACAACAAGAACCAACATTCAAATTCTCAATTCTTTTCTATTCAGTGTTTCTCCTTGGCAACCAACATAAAAGGTGATTTTATCAAATTATGCAGCGCAGAGAGGAACAGAAACAAACAAACAAACCAGAACCCACGGAAGGGCCACCAAGGCTCATGATAGCTCTGTAAAAAAGCACTTGAGCACAGCTTGATGAACTAATCACAGTGACTGGAAGAAGTTCCTGCAATCCAAGTAAACCCAAGTTGACATTACTAATGCATACCCATCTGGGTAATATCAACACCCATTTATTCAAAAAAACCAATCTTGCATAAGTTGACAAAAATTATGCTTAAAACATCCCAAAACTCAAAATTAAAAGTAGACCATGACGATCAAATCACCAAATTTCCAACAATTGGTCAACACAAACACAATTACACCAAGTAAGCATAAACACACATATCTATAAACTTAAATACATACATATATGTCTGGTCTCTGAAAAGATCTGAACAAAATGAAGAAAATATTTCATTAAATTACGGGGATGAAAGTTTAGGAATGAATATACACATACCTGAGCGGTTGAGAAACAGAGGAAGTCGGAAACTCCAAGGTGAACTGAAACTCCAAGGTCTCCCGTCCCCCCTCTCTTTCTCTCTCCTCTTCTCACCCTAGATATTCTCTCGCTTTCCCCCAGTTTCTCTAGCACTCTGTTTGGATGGAGGGATTTGCTGAGCCAAAAAAAAATAAAAAAAAAACATTTACACACAAATATTAATTTATAGATTTATACTTCATTAAATTTTAACTAAAATTTTTTAAATCTTAAACTCTTATTAAATTTTTAATAATCGAAATTATTTTCAAACAATAATTATTTATTATTTATTTATAAAAAAAATAAATATTTGACATTTTTGATTTTCAAAATTTTTAAATATTAACTTTCAAATTGAAAAAATAAAAAAAAAAATATGTGCAAAAAAAAAACTATATGTTTTTTTGAAAAAATTAAAAAAATTGAATTATTTTTTGTGTAAAATTGAAAATTTTGTGTCTATAAAGGAGTATGATGACAGAACATTGATGTATAAAACTCAAAAAAAATAAAAATAAAACTTTAAAAATAAAAAATAAAATTAATAATATTCTCAGTTTTAAATCTGAAAAAAAAAAAAACAATTGTTAATATTCTCGATTTTATTAGATAGTTAAATCAAACCAATAAATAGAAGGCAAAAATGTTTAATCTCATGCTCTATTTCTTTTATCAATTAGTAAAATAATTATCTAGAATATTACTATACAAAATTGATAATATTCTTAGTTTTAAAAATTGAAAAAAAAAATTGATAATATTCTTAATTTACTAAATAGGACTTATTGCTTTAAAAAAATTTAAATAAGACCTGAGCTGGCATAATATTTGTAAATAAGATTTTTAGGTAATTAACTATAAAAAAAAATTAATTGGTAAGAATAGCAAACGACTTCCATTGTTTTGATAATTAAATAAGTGAGAAATAATGAGAGACGGTAAGAAAATAACTCTCACCAAATTTATGTTTTGTTTCTCATCAAAAATATGGCCAGATTTGGTATTAAAAAAAAAAACTAGATTTAATAAAAGTTTCTAAAATACAAAAATTACTTTTAAAAAATAAATAAATAAAAAATAACTTATATTTCTTTTCTCTTATTTATTCTATCTAAACAAGATAGGTCATAAATTGCATTTTTTTATGTTTTATTCATCTAAATATAATGATGAAAAGTCATAATCATTTCTTCTTCTTTTTTTTCAATTAGGTGAGAAATTATGATCATTTATTTTTTTCGACTCACGTCACGACCCAAAAGGAGTGTAAAAATTGTAATGTTATATAGACGTCATGTTGAGATCCCAAGCAATGTAAGAGAAGATTGAGCAGAAAAAAAAAAAAAAAGGCAAAGTGGATCAATCCAAATCAAATCACTCAATTTGGTTTCATTTTCTCATTACATGGTTTGATCTTAGTTCTTAAAATAGGCAAGTCGTACTTCATGGTTCTGTCCATGATTTTATAGTTAAGGGATTTGGTAATAGACCCCTCACTGTTTAACTTATCCTTCAAAAGAACAAGAATTATATGGATCCTTTTAAAACCTTCTAATATTTTAAAATTTATTTATTTTATTATAATACCCTCATATATATATATATATATATATGTATCAAATAAATGTTACATCAAACCACCAAGGTAAACCAAACACACCTTGATTTGTATTCTCCCACTCTCTCTCATCTCGTCCTCTCTGATCTCAATCTCTTACTGCCACCACTCTCTAATGGCGCTACCACTCTTTCTTCTCTCTGTTTTGCTTTCTTACCACCGTTGCTCTTCACAGGTGCCACCGCCGTTCTTCACCGGAGACACCGTCAATCACATGGAACTCTTTCTCTACTGTCTTCATCACCACTGTCGCTTGTTGTATCCACGACCTCATATTTGATATCATTTGCAGTCGTCGTCACCGAAAAATGACCATTCGCGATAATTTGCGAACCTCAAATTTGAAATCCTCCACTCTCTTTCTCTCTCTTTGGTTCAGATGGTTTGTGCTCTCTCTCTCTCTTTCTTCTTCTTTTCATGATGCTCTGTTTATGAGCTCTCTCCCTATCTCTCTCTATTCTTCTCGTGATATTCTAATTTTTCGAACAGTAAGATTTTATTCTGATTCATGATGCAGCCCTCTCTTGAAAAGCCATCATTTACTATGATTCAAAATAAAATTTTGCTGTCGTTAAGCAGATCAGCATGTCGTTAACTAGAGTAAAATTCTTACTGTTATAAAGAATAGAGTACATACTAAATGAACAAACTATAATGAAATTTTACTTTTAGATCTATGATCAAACAAGCAAAAAACTTTTGATTTTTCATTACAATGTCTTGATTTCTTATTTTTCTATCAAATCTAAGTTCATTTATCTCAAATCTAAAGTTATTAATCTTAAATCTGAGTTCGTATGTATCAAATCTGAGATGGGGGAGGTGTGATAGTAAAAATGGTGGTCGCGTGCGTTACAAATCAATTTTAGAACTAAGGAGTTGTTTGGGATGTCCTAATAAGTACACTTTTTGACTTTTTGGACTAAAAAGTTGAGAAAAAAATATGGTTGTTTTGGTTAACTTTTTGACTTTTTATGAAAAAATGTGTATTAAAAAATTGTATAAATTAATGTGTAAAAAAAAATTAGAATTGGGAGTTGTGCAGCCGTACTTTTTGACTTTTGGTGAATAGTGATAATTTTTTAACTTTTTGAGTAACTTTTTCACTTTTTAGCTTTTTTGGCACATGCCAAACTTGGCCTAAATAGCACCTTTTAAATATACTAATGGTTGGGCACGTGCGTTACACATGGTATACGATTTTTCATCAACTGTTAGTACTATAATTATGCGTGTCCCTTGAATTGATATGTAATATATATATATATATAAAGTATAGAGACTTGTATGAGTAAATTAATTTATATCCAAAATACAACTAAATAATAAATAAATACGTACTCAGCTGAAGAATTTAAATGATAAATGAAAAATTTTATAAACATAAACATTAATTTATAGTTAGATTGTTGAAATCGCAATCTTATCTTAAACAATAAACAATAAACATTTCTTTTAAACATATAGTATTACACAAATCTTTTTCTATCAACTTCCTACTTTAAATTTTCATAATCTGTACCTGTAATACAATTGAAGGTATGAAATTAATGGTACAATTACACAATTTTGTTTAATAGTTCATCTCATAATACAAATTCATTGAACTCGCTATTACATATTATTTGCATGCTCTTAGTGCAAAAATACATTAATGTCAATATGTAATATGTTTTTATACATCAAGAGTTGTTAAGTCTTGTTTTTTGTGCCATGAATATTTTGTATGATGAAGAAACATTAGCCATTAGTATATTTTCATTTATGTAGAAAATGTGGAATAATTTTTTTAAAAAAATTGAATGATATTGTAGCTTAATATTTCGATCGATATAGGAATTTCATAATTGTTTTCACGATATTTATAGATCCATGTTTATAAGTGTTTGCAGGTCACTTTCATGAAACTGTCAAGTTACATAATTTATTATATCATCTGTAAGTAATCAACATATAAAAAAATTGATCAAAACTTTTTATTTGATGTACTTACTTTCTGCATCATTGACTTGTTGCGATAATATTTTTGCATCATTTGATTTTTTTCATTGTAATTTGACTAAAATGTGTGTATGAGGTACATTGTTTTTCTTGAATTTCATAACAAATAAAATAATTCATGCTTCAAATTATCTAACTTTGCTTGAAGAGCATATTAGAAAATTAAAGCATCTAATGCTAATATAGCATTAGAGATTGACAATGTATGAATATAGTAACATTTATAAATTCATATTTATATTTTTTATATATTTATATATGTAGACATTCATATATATAAAATATCACAAAATTAATACGTGAAATCTTTTGCAATAATATAATACAGATAACAATGAAAAATTAATTATTCATAATTAAATAGTTGGGCATAATGTACATGTTTAGTGTTACATCTTCGTCTGTATGCACCATTTTTTAATTAGATTATTAAATTCACATAAAAATTGAGAGAAATTTGTGATTAATTTGTATAAAATTAGAGATTTGTGAGGAAATATTTTAAAAAGAGAAGTTTATAATGTTTTGTTTGGTTTGTTTTTTTAAACTTTTGTTTTGAATTTTTTGATTTTCATGTTTTTTGTCTTTGACATGATTTTTTTTTTTTCATAACCCTTTTATTTTCTTTTTTAATTTAATACTTTTTTATTTTTTAATTTTACTTTTAAATTTAGATTCACTTAATCTAAATACACTTACAAAATAATTTGTTATGTATTCTTTTTGAATTTTTTTTTTATTATTATTAATAATAATAATAGTAATAATAATAATAATAATAATAATAATAATAATAATAACAAAAAAATATATAATAATAAAAAATCAGTACATGTTTGAATTTGTAAATTTTTTTACTAATATTTTACTTTTTAATTCTATTTAGATTATTAGATATTAGATTTTTATGTAAAAATATAATTTAAATATAAAATATGAAGAAATTCTAATATCTTTAATCACCAAAATTGAGAAAATATGAAAAATTAAAAATTAAAAAATAAATTTAAAAAATAAAACCAACGAAAGTGGTTCTTCTTTAGAAGTTTGACATCATACCTTATTAAAGTACTATATAAAATATTACAGTTCATAAAATACCATTTAAACAAAAACAAAGTGCATGAAGATAACCTGCAAATTTTTGAGATGGAGCACAAATCTCTATTTTAAAAATGCATGCGCTTTCGTTTGTTTATTTATATAAGACTCTTGGAAGCATATATGTCATTTTTGAGTGTTCAACTTCAAAAATAAAGAGATATTTGGTTTATATAGGACTCTTCATGATTTTTAGAAAATATAATAGATTTGATAGGGTAAAATTAAGATTTAAAAAAGTAGGAAACATGGTAGGCTTTTCACACTTTTATAATAGTAGTATACAGTATATATATATATATATATAATATGCTAAGCACTATTAACATTCAAATATCTTATTAATATTAAGGGAAATTCTACTATACACACCATGTACCATATGCACTCCTAAGTTATATCTTCTTATTTAGTTATGA